CATCAAGTCTCCGAACGGTAATTTCTACGTGGTATTTTTAATGAGTAGAGGATATATTGTTATACAAGGCAGCCATTCCACTCTTGGACAGTTGCTAACTGCCAAACAGTCCTTCCTTATGTTCCTCTGAATTCTCTCTCCAGGTAACTTTTACTCTCCATGCCCTCTACACTCTACAGAATGACCCCAACTCATTTTTGTCATATGCTAGCTCTTTAAAATGTTTTCATTTATCCTATTTCTAACACTTTCTCATAAAACACTACCGCCACCACAATCACCACTTAGCATCTTATACCTCTCTGTTTTGTTCCCGGTTTTAGAACTATTCTTAGTGTATGGCACTCAGAACTGATCACATGACTTTAGCTAATACCTGGCCAACCGATATTCCAGAGTACATGGTACTCTCACGTCCCTCATTCCACATACTTTATTCCTATTCATGTAATCTAATTTCAGTGGACTTTTAGAACAGGCATGTTACATGATAATCTCATGGTGAATTTACCAATCAGTAAATAACACTACTTTTTCTTCTCCTAAAAATTTATTGTAAATCCAGGTCTCTCTTCCTTGTCTATGTGTGCAGTTGATTTTTTTTTTTTAATCCTAGGATCTTGAATATTCTATCAGTTCACTTGAATGAGATAGAGGATGAGAGTCAGTCATTTAAAACTTAATTCTGTCCTCCAAAAAATCAGCTGCCCTTCTCAGATGTGTGTTGTCCATGAATAAGACAACAATGAATTTTATACCTTTGTTCCTTCATCTAACTGGTTGATAAAAAATTTATAAAAGGTCACGGACAGGAATCTAAAACACTTCCTGCTTGACATATTTTTTCTAATTAATATTTTTTAGCATGCTTGTTCAACTTTCTATATATTTCCTCCTAATTGTATCTATATCTAGTCTATTTTTCTTGAATGAACTTGTCACTAAGATGGAGTTTAATAAATATTCGCTATTTTAAAGCAATTTTTTGACATAGATGTTTTGTTAAGTCCACATTTGTGTACCCATTTTAAAACTATGAGCATCCTCATAAGACTACATAATGTGGCCATTATGACTTAAGGACACTGTGACAGTCTAAAAAAATTAAAACGTCAGTTCTTTTAAATTACCAAATTAGCAAAAGTAAGACACAGATATCTTCATAGTTCTTTGTCATCTTGTCATCCCTTGAATTCCCCATCACTAACATGGAGTTTAGAAAGGGGAAATTGGTAATGAATTTCTCTCATTTGAATGATACTTAGTAAGCAAAAACAAAACAAAACACAGAAGTTATTTTAATGTTTGGCACAACTGCTCTGAAGTGTTACACCAAAACAGCCTCAGTTTGGAGGGGGCAATGCCAAATAACTAAGGGCCTAGTTCTGCAAGGCAGGCATCCATAACAGAATTATTTGGAGATGTGTGAGGAGGGAGAAGAAAGGATCTGAGCAGGAACTTTTCCCACTACCCTTGACCTAAAGGACGAGCAACCACACTTAAGAATCACATCACCCAGGGGGGCCTGGGTGGCTTAATCTTTAAGTGTCTGCCTTCGGCTCAGGTCATGATCCCAGGGTCCTGGGATAGAGCCCTGCATCGGGCTCCCTGCTCCGCAGGAAGCCTGATTCTCCCTCTCCCACTCCCCCTGCTTATATTGCCTCTCTCGCTGTGTCTCTCTCTGTGAAATAAATAAATAAAATCTTTCAAAAATAATAATAAAAAAAATCACGTTGCCCAGAAGAAAAGCTTTGCCTTTATGAAGCTGATGATGCACTTCATCTCATTTGGTACATAAGAGAATTTACAGTGGTAAATAATTAGGTGCTTTATGTCAAGCCTCTCTTGTATTGTGAAGGCTTTTTAACTTCAAAGAAAAACAAATGTCTAAGGAAACTGCAATTAAAAAAATAAAGAGTTGAATGAATAGGACACTTCATGTTTTCTTAGTTCTAAGTTCACAGTTAGGAATTTCTAGGAAGGAAGGTCTTAAAATCCCCAAAATCCTTTTGTTTCAGTAGAAGTTGCAGAGAAAAAAGTAAATCATTTGAATCACATGTTCTTCAGTTGTCTCCTCAACTCTAACCCATTTTCATAGACTAGCCAGATGAGAGCTTAGACCAGGAGGCCTATGTACAGATTCAGAGGAATTCCAAAAACTCACCGCTGGAATTGGGATTAGGAAATATCTCTGATCCAGAGGCCATAAGGAAGCTAAGGTGACTTCCACACACTCCATTCAAGGGAAAAAAGTTTCTCTTTGCCCACTTCTTTCACTATAGACCTGAAAGTTGTTTACCTCTCAGACAAATTGCACTTCCCTAAACACACTACATGGAAGCAAATATTGTCCCTCTTCCTAATGAGTGGTTTAGGAGTTCAGGCCTCAAGCAGTATTCATGAGCATAAACCTCATGATTACACAGAACTCACTGATGTACCAACATTGTCAAACAGTACCAACACTGCATAATTCGTTGCTTTTGTACACATGGTAATAGAGACTATGAGCAACTTGAGGTGAGGTCTTGAATCTTATTAACCACTTTATCCCCTGTGTCTAGCACAGTGCCTGGCACAAAGTAGGGGCTTGATAAATAGTTGTTGAATAAAGAAAATTCTAAGCTAACACTTTTTTTTATGTTTAATTCAGTCATGGAAAACTATTACTTGAGCACCTATTATGTACCAGATACTATACAAAGCTGTGAGTAGACAGACAGGAATCCTTCCTCAGACCTTATAGTCTAATTGAAATTGATGAAGTAACTTCTACTTCTGATGACTGACACTATTATGGTAACCTTGGGGATGGACAACACTACTGCTGACCCTCAATTTCCTCACATTCAATTTAATGTTGGACAAAATGACCTACTCTATAAGCTTATTTAGTTCTAAAATTATTGTAAAGGTTATGAAATGTATAAAGCATTATGTAAAGTTTTAAGATTATAAAATTATTTTTTAACTTGAATATGGCTCAAAATGGATATTCCCCCAGTTCGAAAGCAATTCAGTTTCTCAAATGGATACATGCACATCACTGTATGAACCACATAAAGAATCCAATGACTCTAGCATTGTTGTATTTTTTAAACCAGGTCTCTGTTGTAAAATGTAACTTCCTTGAGAGCACAATATTTTACATTTGGTATCCTCTATAGGATCTAGTACTTTTCAAAAAAATAGCATTTGAAAAATGAATCAGTGCAATGGAAACAATTTAAGAATCACCAAGGATCCTAAACTGAATGGTGAATGGCATTTAGAGATCCAAGAACCTTGTGAAATTATATGCAAAACTGGGCATAGGCCATTGTGTGGAGTTCTTTGGTTTTACCAGAATCTCAGAGAGATCTATTATCCAAAATGGTTCCTCCATTCAGTATATATTAATTGAATATCAACTACTTGCCCAGCATTGTATTATGGTTTAGGCTTAGAATCTAAAACTTTTTTTATAAATAATGAATACTGATTACAACAAATCTTTACAAGATCTGCTTTCTCATATTCATACCACTAAAAATAATGCATACTGTATTAAATATATCTACATCCTAAATCATCATCAGATCCTATGCATTTATGATATTTGCTGGTAAAATATATATGCATATATATACACACACACACACACACATACATATAATTTAAGAAATTTTTAGTGAATCATGTTGCTCAAGCTGTTTCAACTATTTCTAATTCATCAACTATCTTACACCACAGCTGCGTTTTCATTTATTTCTAACAATCACAATGAAGATACTGTCCTTAAAAAAAAATGATGACATATAAAGAAAACTGCATGAAATTGTTTTATAAGCAGTTTTCTCAGGGACATTCCACTTACTGAAATAAACAGCTTTCGTATGCTCCAGATGGAGAACAAAAAGTATTATTAAAATCTCATGGAATCCTCTAAAATTCAATGACAGTATTTCCCTTTTGGAAATTTTATAACTTTCCTCAATGCATTAAGCATCATCTACCTACAGTCAATCAATATTTATCTGAGCAAGTATTTAAATTTTCTGAGTAAGACTATTTTTACCTTTGAGAATGGCTGCCATATTCTTGCCACAAACATATGGAAAGGAATATTTCTCCAGATACAAAGATTAAAATCCTAACCCACAGCAGACGTTCACTTTATGATATGAAAGTTTCTATGTAGCATGATTCAAAATGACGGTTTCAAAACAACGTTAACTCATACTATGAGGAAACTATTCATTTCTAATTCCTACACTCTACCAGAACTTAGATGCAATTAGTGATAGTGGCCAGGAGATGGTGCAGTCTCATTTCCTAAAATTTACTTCATAAGCTTTGTGTAATTTACAAAGTTCACTTTAAAGAGAAATGTTTTATTAATGGCACTTGTTATCACAATTGGCTGATATGAATGAAAAGTAAAACATTCAGAAAAAAATAAGGAATTTAAATTTCTCAAAAGTTTTACTTATTACTAATCACTTATATGTGAATAAAATGCTTTAAAATACTTTGAATATTTCTCTCCTGTGTACAAGGAACAGAAGAAGGAACAGAAGGAAAGAAAAAGTTCAAAGTAACAGTCATTTAGAATTACCTCAACTTTTCAATTCTTCCTTTTAGTTCATTTTATATGCTGGATTGCTTTACACTTATAAATGTATTTTACAACTATAAACTCCATTTTTCAACAAAATAAAAACAAGTTTAGTTATAGGAATTCTACAACTGATATTTTAGGGAGAAAATTCATAAAAGTAAAAATATTTCCTGAAATGACTTTATTCAAGGCACATATAATGTTTAAATGCTTCTTTCACTTAGTAAATGCTAAAGAGGAATCTTTCAATCTCAAATCATACTGGTTGTAAAAAAAAAATAGTATTTTTAAGGTCTAGTATGCCATTCACATCCATAGTGTACACATTAATAGGGCTGGGTGTGTGGGTTGTATTGCATGCTTCTAGAAATACTCCAAAAAGGGAGAATAGGCAGAAATATTACAGACTGTCCTGATTTGGCCTGGAATACAATCTGCCACCAGTTACTGAGTCTTTGCTGGGAAGGTAGGAAGACTCCCTAATCATTCCTGAAAATGCATAATCCAAAGCTGGTCGAAAAGGCAATGCTGGTACCAACCCCGGAGTTAGGTAAGGAGACATAAAACCAGAGAGCCCCCTTCCTGGAGAGGAGTATGCCAGCCGTAATGGATTGATACCTAGTCTAGGATTTAAGCTGTAGAGACTTGAATCACCTCCATAAGGAGCAGAAGCAGTTTGAAGAGGAGAGAAAGCTGATTTATTCCCTAGAGTTCCAAAACCAATTCCACCTAAACTAAAATTTGAAGCTCTCTGAAAAGCTGTATTTTCCAATTCTCCTGAGTTTGCTAGGTCCCTGGTGTCTGGCTGGTGTTCTTTCCCATTTAGGACCTGTTCGATGGCTTGAACCACATCCCCTTTGCAGAAGCGCAGAATGCTTTCTAGCCGGCTACGCCTATAACTTGGGAAAATCCTGGTAAGGATATCAAGAGGGTCTCTTGGTCTTGAGGACAGTGTGGGAAGGCTGGCTCTGGTAGCAGTGAAGTCTCTGGCCCACTCACTTTCATTTCCTGATTCCAGATCAGATGATGACAGGGACCTGGGACTCTCTTCCCCTCCTGATAGCTCCCCAGGGTGAAGAGGCTGAATATTATCTTCCTTGTTCAAGCTTTCTGAAATAGTTGGCCTGATGTTTTGTTTTCCAATGACACCATTAGACTTAGAAGATGATCCCAGAGTACACTGATGGGATTTAGAGACTGGCTCTTCTTGTCCACTCTGGCCTGAGTCACATTTACTCTCTTTTAGTTCTGGGGGATAGAAAAGAAAAAAAGAATCAAATAAAGGAAAACTTCCCAAAACACAGAGAGTACTGCCTACTTGAAAATAATGCTGGATAAAATAATTCATTTACTCATAATATATTAGTAATATTTATTTGCTGCAAGAGACTTTAATGAGTAAGAATTTTAAAAGGTCCTTCAGAAGTAAAGGCATTGGAGTAGTGGGAAAATGCTATTTACTAGGTCATTCCAAGATCACAAAATTATATAATATATAAATGCTATAGTTATTTAGGAATCAAAAGATAAAAGTCTAATATTACCCCAACTATTAATGTGAAACCAGTATCTCACATTATTTGCCCCATTTGGTGATTTGAGATTTTCCTAAATTTTACCCAAATTTCATTGTTATCCTGGTTTTTTTTTTTTTTTCAAAATGACACTATGCAAAAAGAACTAAATAAAATGACTATTTAGATAAGAAGTCAAAGGAAGGAACAACCTCAGTATGAAAATGAACATTCTATTTAATAAATAATACTATGTTTCAATTTTTTTTAATGCTCACATTTCAGGTTCCAATTAAGTTACCTGAATAATGTGAAAAACAACAAATTCTTCATTTCACTTCAAATCTAAACCAATAATCACCACTACTGTACCAATCTCAAATCATACCAGAGCTTACATATTTCATATTATGTGAGAGATGATACAGACTTGGTATTTTTTAATAATCCCCTATGAAATATGGACTTTCTTTTTCAATCCCTAGGAAATATTTTTTAAAAATATTTAGAGTCAAATTGTTTCTAAAAGAAAATTATAAACTGCACTATTGCACTACTGCAATCTGTACGTATCTTCAAAGTGTCTTGTAAAAACAACATACTAGTTATTTGCTTCAAATCACAACTCCCAATATTAAGGGCAGTTTTCCAAAAATATTTTTACACAAAAATCTGATTTTATACCTCAACATGTTGAGCATATTAATATTAATAAAACAGTTAACATTTTAAATGCCCTTTTGCACAGTTTATGCCAGGAAAATAATAATGTATACATTCACTAAATAACTTTTATTTTGGTTTACATTTCCTCTTATCCTATAAACATATTTTACCTCTATTTCCATTAAAAAGAGTAAAGTGGGATACTCAGAGTATTTCTGCCAAACCTTTTTCTACAAATGTTATGAATTCAACAAAACAAATACCGCCTAAAGCAGTGATTTGCACACACGATTTGCAATGTTCCTATGGTTTCTCAAGAAGCAGTCCTAAATTCTAAAGAAGTGTCTATACTTCATTTTAAAATTAAAGTGTGTGCAATTTAACACTTTGAGGGTTAAAATTCTGTCATTGTATCAAACAGATAACAAAAGAAAAGGTGTTGTTCCTGTAAAACTACAAAGACTCTCTAGTATTTTCAACTTTAAAAGAAACAATGAAACTTTTCTAATGAAGTCTACCAAGTGGGGAGAGACTGGCCTTGGTCCACCATTACATTTTATTTCTAACTATGACCCACTAAATACGCACCCCCCCAAACATGTAAGGATCAAAACTTCATGACTACAGCAATTTATGCACAGAACAATTTTTACTAGTATACTGTACTCATAAGAGTACAATATAATGCAATAAAGTACTGATTGCATAAGACTCTGGAAAATAAGGTATTTTTAAGATACTGTGATATCATTTGCATCATCTCTCTGTTTTCTCAACTCCTATATCTGGTTTTATTTCTTTACTTTTATCACTGTGTATTTTGTCTTATGTTGGATACATATAGTCTTCCTTCTTTTGTAAATAAGTTTTTTTGTGTGCAGAAAAATCTTATTCGCCTCTGAATCACTGTTAGTCTTTGTCTAATGAGTGAGTAAATTAAATAGACTACTGCAGCTCATGGATATTGGGTAAGAGGATGCAGTCAGTTTAGAAAAACTACAGACGTGGCTTTTCAAAAAAGTAGGTCAACTGAGGCAAAGAATAAAATAAAAAGAGAACACTTTGGGTACTCCCCCCAAAATCATATAAATCAATGTCTAACAGAGTTATCAGCCAGATTTACGGTCAATTTAGTTTACAGAATTTTTCTTTTTTATAGCAGTTATTTGCTTAATGACTTTGTTCTTCAGCACTCTTTGATTTTTCATGAGAAATGTTTAATGTTTTGTCCACTGAAAAGAACTAGAACATGAGCAAAACATTGGCATAGGTGAACACAAAATCATATACGCCTTATTTAAATACAGAGAGAGTCTTTTTCAAAAGTACATCCTATGATCCAAAAAGATCTGCAATTTTCACAATTCAGGGAAGTTTTCTAATTAATAACTTACTTTTCATTATCATAGAATTTCGTATGATACAACCTGTCTTGAATTTATTTAAAAAAATACTGAAATGACATTTACACTGCTAGTGTTACCTGTAGAGGGCTGGGAAATTCATTAAAATACAATGAGACTTACATCAGCAGGAAAACTTAATTTGAGATAACTCTAATAAAAAATGTTTATATCTTTTTTACATAACAAAGGGGATGAAGGTGATTTGCGGTCAAAAAATAAGAGGAAAAAAATTAAAACTCCTTGGATAAGATACTGGACTTTGAAATTCTTCTTCCCAATGGTTTTACAAATCTGGAAAGCCTAAATTCCTTTCCTATGGAACTTCAAATTTAGAGCTTTCTACACTTTTGGAGGCTAGCAAACAGTCATGGGGTGGTGCTTAAAATTTTAAGGGAAGGAAAGGAGGTGAAAAAAGGTTTGGTAGATTTCAGATTTCTTTCCCACTTCTAGCTGGCACCAAAGGTTTGCCCCAAAGATGAGGAACTGTACTCTCAACCCTCAGTGAATTTCCCAGGAATACTGGAAGATTAACTCTGGTTTTAGAGCTGAAAAGAGTATAGAGCAAACCCAAAACCCAGCTTCTCTAAGCTTTTCACCAAATGCCCGCTTCAAGCTCTAACTCACCCAAAGTAATAGCGAATTGGATGCAAATTCTGTTCCTAGCCTGAGTTGCTCATCTATCACTCGCTTCAGTTTTACATTATCTTATCCTATAACCCAAGGGTACAGAACGCCCTTTCAAGGTATGTGTCTCTAACACCCTCATTAACATTTCTATTACAGAGCAGTTTCCCAGAACTTAAATGAGTGCTTCTTTTAAACAACTTTTCTTGCCCACCACCAAGACATGGCTACTTGTTTCCAAGAGTTTTTTTCCAAAACAACCATTTTTTTTTTTTTTTTGCAAAGGGTAAATGAAAAGACCAACTTACTTTGTTTTAGTTCCGTATTATCTGGCTGGACAACTTGGAAAGCAGGGGTCGCCAGACTAGCTTGCCTCAAGGCACCCAGTCCCAGCGCCGTCACCGCCGCAGGGCCGCTGGAGGCCTGGGAATTCTCCGTTCGGTTGCCGGGGCCTCCACATGTCCGACCCCCAGGCCCGCAGGGCCCAGGGTACAGGAGCCTCTGCAGCCCCCGGGCCTCACTCTCTTCCTGGGCCTGTTGCCGGCGTAGCGCCACCTGGGCGGCCATGACGCGCTGGCGCTCCGCAATCAGGGTGCACTTGGCACACGCGCAGTCCCGCCAGCGGCAGAAGCGTTTGTGGCCCTTGAGTGCCGACACGACGCCGTGGTTGCGACAACGGGCGCACTTGGGTGTCCGCGGGTAGCCGCAGCCCACCACACCCACGCCCCTCTCCAGTCCGGGAGCCGACGGGCAGCCTCCGCTTCCCGTGGCGGCTGCGGCGGCCCGCAGAAAGAGGCTGGGTGGCCGCAGGAAAGTTGGAGGAACTGGTATCCCCGGGGGTACTGGCAGCGCCGGAGACGGGGGCGGAGGGGCGGCCGCCACCAGCCCCGGGGCCAAGTGGGTTCGGCCGCTGCCGCTGCGGTCTCTGCTGCCACACTGTGACTGCTCCATTCCCCAGAAGTGTCTGGCGAGCGAAGTGCGCAGGCCACAGCTAACCCTGCCGGGAGCGGGGAGCGCGAGGACCGGCCGTGGTCCCGCTGCCTCCCACCCACACACGGACAAAGTTCGACAGAATTCCCGCCGGGGGCTGGAGATGCTAAGAGGCGCAGATGCCCAGTGAGCCTCAAGAGTCCCGGGGCGCTAAGTTAATGCCTCTCTGCTCCGCGCGCTCAGCCCTCTGAGTGAGTGAAGGGACGGCGGGAGAGGCTACCCCGCCCACCGGGTCTACGGGCCGAGCGCTGAAGCCCTGAGAGGGCGGGCGGGCGGAGTGGGACCTCCTGGGAGGAGGGACGGTGGGAGACACAAGAAACCTCTTGATGGGCTGTCAAGGTCCCTTCCCCAAAAAAGCCTTTTTCTCCCACTTGCCTCCCCATGAATTCCTCAACGTCTATTTTTGTGAAATAATCAAGCCCTCTGCCATGCCTCTTACCGCCCTTCTTAAATTAAGCAAGATTGGAAGTTCTTTTCTCAGTCTCACGCTTCTCCAAGCAAGTTTGAAAATTTGGACGTGTAGTTGTTTTTCCTTTTCCTTTTCCCAGGTGAAGTTTTCAGGATGATAGCATGGCCAATGTTAATGAGAAAGCACAGCTTGACAGATGGCAAATATTATGCACCTGAAAGATGCTTTATTTTAAATGGGTCTTAGGACTGCATCAAAACAATGGATAAATAATGAAGGGAATTCATTCACATACGGATTCTTCTCGTTCATTCTGTTTATTTACAAATGCAATTTTGGATTGCACGCATTATTATATTTTGAAATGCGACCACCCAAATAAGTCTTTATGCATTTCTTATGTGGAAGTCTTTATAAGCAATTGTGTTAAAGCTGTTTCAAAAATACTTCACATTTCTATTATAAAATACTGGGAAAGGCCATTTAGACCATTCTTTAAATATTCTATCATAATATGCACTCTTAAAATACACATTTAATGCCCTTAATCTTAAGAAAAGATCATATTGCTTTTAAACCAAAAGAGCATTTGAGGCAGAAAATTCATGAGTGTTTGCTCTTAATGGAGAGTCAGGACTCTGTCAGTTCTTCAAAATAATATTCAACTACCTTAACAGGCAATTCATATTCTAGCCCTAAAATGGTTAAGTAACAATGACATTTTTACCATCACAACCACGGACATCCAAGGCAGACATTGCTAATCAATCTGGGCTTTCTCCTGCCTGCCCACTTCACACCATCCCCACCAACACCATCCTCCCATATCAACATCCTAACATCCTATCATAGAGGTGTTGCACCCCTTCCCAAGCTCTGGAACTACCTAGGGAACTTCTAAAAGATAAATTCTCCAATCCAAGTATTCTGATTCTTTGGGTCTGAGTCTTTAAACTCTCAAGGTGATGATTATATACAACCAAGGTTTAAAACTACCACTCTAGGAATGTCTACCCTTTGCAGATTCTATAATACTCAAATTTTCTCATACTTCTAGATCTTTGCTCATTCCACTCCTGTCTAATAGCTAGTTATTCCCTAACTGTGGAACACAAATCCAACATTTGAGAAATGAGTTTTTAGTGCTATGTGGATCATTAAAGTACAGTGAAGGGGCGCCTGGGTGGCTTAATCAGTTGAGCATCCTACTCTTGATTTTCGCTCAGGTCATGATCTCGGGGTCCTGGGATGGAGCCCCAAGCCAGGCTCCGTGCTCAGTAAGGAGCCTGCTTAAGAATTTTCTCTCTGCTTTTACCCCTGCTCACGCTCTCTCTCTCTCTCAAATAAATAAATCTTTGAAAATAAAGTACAATCAATTACCTAGTGAGAAAACAATCCTTTTCTCTATTATTTTTAAGACTTGGCAACCTAAAGGAAAAGGATCAACTTGATATAAATATGCCTTTAGAATCTCTAAAGACTTATTGTGCTTTATAACAAAAAAAAAATTAAGAGCTTCAAGTACCACTGTTTACCTGGAATTTAACACTATTTTTCTGTTTTTATTTGATTATCAAAGTTACCTTCCAATTACAGCAGCAAGTGATACTGGTTTTCATCCAAGGAAGTGAAAATAATTTTTAAGTGAATGTATTTAAATAAGACATGTGTCTATTTAAATGAGAATCAATGTGTGAAGGACTGAAAATTAATAAACTTTGGTGACAAAAATTGAAGATCTAAATCAATGGAGAGATATGCCATATCCATGGGACAAAGACTCAATATTGTTAAGAAGACAATTCTACCTACATGACTTATAGATCAATTTCAATCAAAATTTCAGCAAACTTTTTTTGGTAGAAATTGTCAAACCCATTCTAAAATTCATATGGAAATGCAAAAGAAGGACCTAGAATAACCAAGGATAAAGTTGCAAGGCTAACAATATCCTGTTTCAAAAATTACTACAAAGTTACAGTAACCAAAGCAGTGTAGCATTGGTGAAAAGATAGAAAAATCAACCAATGTGACAAAACAGACTTTACAAATAGACTTACCCATAAGTAGACAACTAATTTTATACAAAGGTACAAAGACAATTTAGTGGACGGAAAATGGATAGTTTTTTCCAAACAAATTTTGCTGAAACAACTGGACATCCGTATGCAATGTGAAGGGACAGTGAAAGATGGGTAGGAGGGATTACAAAGGATCCTTTAAAGGAAACTTTTGGAGATGATGAATACATTAGTTATTTTAATTGTGATAATGATTTGTGTATATACATATGTCAAAACACCAAATTGTGTACATTATATATTTGCAGTTTATCGTTTGTCAATTATACTCTGATAAAGTCATTATAAAAAATAAAATCCCTGTTACCTCTGGAAAAGAAAGGCATAGAATAATGTGAAAGTATTTGAAGCAAAGGTAATCCTAACCTTAGCGCCCAAAACTGGAGCAATGATTTTAAACACTTGTAATTCTCCTCAAACACACTGGAAAGCTTGAATCTCTTCTCGTAATAGTATGACATGTTCTCTCTTTTTCTCAAATTATGTATACTTTTTTTTCTTTTTACTCTGACAGCAATTGAGTACTGTGGCTGTTCTTATAAGTCACTGAGAAGATATTAACAGCTGCAATTTAGCAGTGGCAACAGTTTCATCAAATGAAAAGGTGATGAGAAAGAAGAAACTTTTTAATTAAAGTGTGTGCAAGTATCACAAATATGTCACTTACAAATTTATAAACAAAGAAAAAAAACAGACTGGTCTAATAAATGGGAACTGTAGAGGCATATCAGAAGGAAGGAAAAGGATCTAATAAACAGAATCTCTCCCAAGTCCAAAAACATTAACGTACCTCCCTTTTAAATCATTCATTTATACTCGAATTCCTTGTCACCCTAAACTCTTACAGTCAACTGCCATTTTTTGTAGGTTCATTAAAACAACGAATCAGCATACAGGAGTAAAACTGTGAATCAGCAATTGCAAATATAGGCCTGGCTCCGATCTTATTTAACTAAGCTCGTACAACTTGAATTGGATAGTTAGGTTCTCAGCTTCACTTTTCCCACTGACAACTGAAAACATTAAGTCATTTTCAAGGACAGTTCCACATCTGTGGTTCATTTCATTTGCCAAGTCTAGTCTGTGTTCTTAATCTCTAAAGAACATCATTACTACCCCTCTAAAGCCTCTGTCAAAGCATCTCTCTTGCTGGTAGAATATCCTGGACTAACCTGCTAGTAAAGGAAAGTTAAAGTATATGTGTTTAGTTAGCTTGGCTGGAAGCTTTTGACAGGAGGACTGGATTTGGAAGGAAAAGCTCAAAATTGTCTCTTCTTTCATGTATAAACATGTACAATTCACTCCATGGCTTCAGCATAAAGGTGAGCACACCTTATATAGTCCATCTACTCCAAGGTTTTTCAGAGCCATACTATGTATGCTAATATCATGTTTTGTCAGTCTTGAGGGGTCTGAACTACACATCTCTTTGCCTGGGGTTCTCCAAAAAGTAATTGAGCATTAATCCTGATTGGGAGACCAGTGTGCAGACTGACAAAAATTTCAGCCCTTGGACTGTGGTTCATCAAATGGCTACGCATCCCAGGTCTGGAAAGAAACAGGTCTCCTCTGGGACACAGCCTTTCCTGGAGTATTGTTGGGAGAAGGAAGAACATGTTTGGTGATAATATATAATTGGCCAAGAAATGTTACTATCCAAAACCCAGTATCTACCAGTAATTGCTCCCTCCTGAAAATACCCTGCAGCTAAGGAGAGATCATTCTTTATACCAGAGTTATAACTAACCACAGCATTGTGCATTTTAGGAAATAGAACTTCGTTAGAGGACATCATCTCTGAACCCTTGCTCTGGGATGGCAAGAAGCCAGTTGGAAACCATACATATTATTCCCCCCCCATGCCCCCACCATCAACAGCACACAGATTACAAAATAGAGTAGAAAGTGTTTTCCTTTATTGCTTTATGAGCTCTTTCTATACAAGATGATGTTTACCTGGAATCATAATAAACTAACAAAGACAGAGAATGGAAAACTACCTATTTTTTTTTCTGTATCCATTTCTAAATGCCCAGCAAATGGTAAACACTCGATACATTTTTGAAAATAAAGAATGGATGCTACAAAACTTACTTGTAGTTTGGCTGAATAGGCACTAATATCACATTACTTTTCCTTTGTATTCTGCAATTTCCAGTGCACTAAAAATTAATCTCCTCCAGGTTTATCTCTGTGGAGTTTATATAAGCTGGAGTGTGATTTCTTTTTAAGTATGGTTTATTGTTTACTTTGTTTTCTGTACTTTTGTTTAATATTAAATAAGGTACTTTATGACAATTTTTCATAAAGAAAAAGTCTTATGAAACTCTACAGTTACACTTTTAATACCACTGTACCGTATTCAGTACTTTTCAATATGTTTAGATCTAAGCATATACAGTTGCTTGTGAATGTGATGGATTAATGCATATCTCTACTTCTACTCTTTTTTTCTGCATATAAAAACTTTG